GGCAGYGGGCAGTGGKCARTGGGCAGTGGCAGTGGGCARAGGGCAGWGGGCASCGGGCTGRGGCTGGGGCTGTGTCYGTGCTGGCACCTTGGGCACTCACAGCACGCCCAGAGCTCGGGGAGTGCTCCATCAGACATCTCCAGCCCTGGCCCTCATGCCCTTMTCACCTTCTCTCCCACGTTTCTTCCACCCCTGCTGCTTTTCCTTCTCCCCTCTCTGGCTCCTCTCTTCCACCATTGCCCATTCCTGTCCACCCTGGCATGTTTCTGGGGATGTTTCTGGGGATATTTCTAGAGATGTTTCTGGGGATGTTTTACCACAACAGACATACTCAGCTTTTCCTCTGCTCGTAGCCTTCCTCCATCACAATCGAGTCATCCCTCCTCCACCTCTGCTCCCAGTGCCAGATATTTTGGCTCTTTTCCCTGCAGAGGGCTGAGGTGATTGCTGGGGCTGTTGGCTGGTCTGCAAAGCAACAGTGTGGGTTGAACTATTCCCTGGGGAGCTGGTGGCCTGGCTGCCATTCAGTGGGAGTGCAAGGATCTGCAATTCCTCCCTTGGCTCCTGTGAGCAACCAGGGCAATGACAAGGGCCTGGTGGAGAGGAAAGATGGAAAATCTCTGGGYATGGTCATATTCCCAGGTCCAGCCAAGCTCCAGCTCTTGGAGGGGAGCAGGCAGAGGAGAAGAACACTCCTGACTGCACAGGGAGGGGGATTTGGGGGACTTTGAGCTCAGCCWGCCAAGCTGGGCTCTTTAAAGCAGTTTTTGGGCAATGCTGTTTCCTCCTCGGGAGATGTGTGGGGTTGGGGGTGTTCAGCCTGCAGGAGGATGGGTGCACATTGAGGTGTCCCTGTCCACAGGACTGAAGGAAACACGGTCATTCCTGTGTTCTCAAGGGGAAGAGAGGCCAGGGACAATCTTATGGAGGTGCAGGGGAGGAGTTTTCTCCCAGCAGGGCTGATCCATAGTTCCTTGGAGCTGGGAGTGAAGGATGTCCTCATTGACATGGTTTGAAGGCACCCTGGTGGATTGTGGCTTCCCACCACCAAACCCATCTCTCCCAGAAAGCTCTGGTTTCCCTGGCCCTCCCCCARCCCTGTCCCCATGCACTGATCACCCTGTGCCCTCCAGCAGACTCCCTCCCATCCCACTGTSCCCACTGCCCTCATCTCCTTGTTCTACCCTGGGCTGGAACAGGGGTTTCCAGGTGGCAGCACTGCTGGTCCCTGGCCTCAGGGAGGGCTCTGGGGTTGGGAGATTTGGGAGATGATGTCCATCCCTCCACAGAGCTCAGGAGCAGCTGGCAGGTCACCCCAGAGCCRTGGGGAGTCACTGTGGCTGCAGGTTCTGTAGGCAGACTGGGGGTACCCTCTGCCCTCTCTCTGACCATGGAAGAGGGCTGCATTTGATTCTGTCCGGGAAACATGAACTGTCCCTATCACCTGGCCAGCCCTGGTCACAGAAATTGGTGCAGTCACATTTTATGAGGGGGAGAGCTGCGGAGATGACATAAAACTGGACGAGAACCACGGCKGTGATCACGATCCAGTGAAGCAGGAGGAGATGTGGCTCTGCAGAGCCCCAGAGCAGAGGGAGCCATGGGCTGGGGGTCCTGCAGGTGCCATTTCCTGATTCCAGGTGCCCAGGGCAGCCAGGGCAGGGTGCAGCCCTCCCCTCAGAGCGGTGCTGGGGCTGGGCTCGGCGGGCTCTGCGTCCTCCCGGGCTGCAGGATGGATGGGGCTGGGCAGCCCCGGCCTTTTATCTGATTTCACTCTGAATTCCYCAAGTGCAAGYTGCATTTCTCCTCACTCGAGCAAASAAATAGAATTATGACCACAATGCCCTCCCTGTAATCGCCTCAGAGCTGCCCTTCACCCTTCCTTGTCCTTCCCTTTGCTCATGAGGGCAAAGCCCTGCTGGGGAGCACCTCGGGATGCCCACACTGTCAGCATTCCTGCCTCCCTCCCCCTGAGGACAAGCTTATCCAGACAAAATTCCTGCAGCATTTACAGCTRGGCTGAGCCACGAGGCTGGAGCTGGAGATGGTTGGTGCTATGAGCCCAGGGRAAAGGGGTGGAAGTTTCCTGGTGCCACTGCTGTACCCAGAGCTCACCAGCTGTCTGGGGTTTTGGATCAAACCCATTTGTAGGAGAAATCCAGTGGGATGGTGCTGGGATGTGTCTAAGCCGTGTGGGATGTGTGTAACCCAGTTCATCCCGCTGTGGACAGGGTGAAGTTCCCCTGATAAGTTGTGTGCAGCAAAAGGACCCGAAGGAGCAGCCTGAAGTTGTGTCAGGGGAAGGTTAGGCTGGTATTTGGGAACAGTTCTTCCCCCAGAGGTGACTGGGACCTGGAACAGCTCCCCAGGGAATGGTCCCGGCCCCGAGGCTGCCAGAGCTCCGGGAGCGTTTGGATAAAGCTCTCAGGGACGGGGTGGGATTGTTGGGGTGTCCTGGACAGGGCCTGGGGTGAACTGGATGATCCCTGTGGGGATCACAGCTCAGSATGTCCTGTGATTCTCTGGAAGGGGCACGATTTGGGCAAATCCCCGTGGGTGTGCAGCCCTGGGACCCATGGGACTGGGCTGGGCTCCTGTTCAATATCCTGGGGACTGGCCTGTCATCCAGGAYTGCCCTGTAGCCCACCCTGTGCTGCACTTGGACTGTCCCTCCTGTTCCTCCTGTGCCTCCTGTCCCTCCTGTGCCTCCTGTGTCTCCCAGCTGGGAAAAATCCCCTGTGCTGGGGGAGCTGATCCCACTGCCCACTGGTGCTCTGGTCCTGGGAACAGCGGGTAGGGCGAGCTGTGAATGGCCAAGGCAGCGTCTCAGAGGGGTGGCAGATCCTGCTGGGAGCCCCGTGCCCTGGAGCAATGTCACAGAGCTGCTGGGGCTGGCCCAGCAGTAACCAGGGCGTCTGGCTGAACAGGATTACCTGAGTGGAGCGGGCTGGAGCAAAGCAGCTGCCCCTCAGCTGCCCACGAGCCAGGGTGAGTTGTGCCAGGAGCCCCTCCAAAGGCAGAGCCTTCATCCATCCCTCTGCAGCTCTGGGRTGAGGCACTGGGGACAGGAAGGTCACAGCAGCTGGTGCAGGGCTCCCCAGAGGTGTGGGCACAGCAAAGTCCTTCCCCAGCAGATTCCCAGGGGAGAAACTCAACCCACAAAAATGATAACCCAGTCTGCCTTCCCTCTGTCCCTTCCCTGCTCCCTCCTGCTCTCTCYCGTGTTTTCCTCCTGCAGCAGGGCTGTTTCCATCCTGCCATCCTGCCCCTGTCAGTGGCACTCACCCTGCACTGTCCCTGTCACTCAGCCCCACTGGCACTGTCCCCCTCCCCGTCCTGGGTGCCTCCTGCATTCCCCCACAGCTCTGCCTGCAGAGCAGGAGGAACCGGGCATTTCTGGGTGTGAGGGCACTGGAGGAGCCTGTTCCATCACCATTCACCACAGTGARGGAATTCCTGCACCTCACAGCCTTTCCAGGAGAGCCCCAAGGCTCATCTCAGCACCCCCCACCCTGCCTGTGGTGCTTCCACAGCTCCAAACACAACTCCAGTCTCCCCAGTCCTCTTTTTTTTTTTTTTTTTTTTTT